CACGTGGACATACTCAAAATTAAACTTCATCCCGTCTTGAGGCTCGTGGATGATATGACAGGTGAGTTGAAAACACGTATAACATGAACGGAGCAGGGAACTCTAAGAAGCCTGTCTCAGGGAACACCGGAGACTTTGAGACTGCGGCTCAGCCTGTCCTGCCGCCTATGATGCTCGAGGACGCTCGTGCGTCTGTCGCGCCGGAGCTACTTGGAGTGTACGTATGTCTGTTCTTGCTTTAGGTTGTCTTTCTCAAGATGTTAATGTAGCCACAGGTGAGGACGGAGTTGCGAAGGCTGCGGCCATCACTCAGATGAAGCCCTGCCGGTGGCCTAGCGGGCCTAGCGCCTGCTGCCTTGGCCAGGGAGACCGCTGGATGGATCCCCCCCGCGGAGGTTTGATGAAATGATGCACACATATCAAGACCAACTAAGATCCACAGGATTGGGAGCGGCATGCACTCGATTGCATACACTTTGGCTTCAATTCGGCAGCACAAGGTTTTGAAGTTGTCTCCAAAACCTGACACAAATTTAAGCATTGACGCAGAGCGGCTCCGTCTCTTAACAAGGCGCTCCACTTCGCAACTTACAGGAGTGATCGACCATGCAATCCGACAGGCAGGGAAACCGCAGCACTGCCAACTGCAGGCTGTGACACATGAAGTGCATTGAAGCCGGGGACTGGTTGTAGCTCTGTTTCTGGGCCAGTTTTTTTGAATGGCCCATCTTCAAGCCTCAGGCATTAGCACAGCTGATTTGGGTCAAAAAACCATAGAGTCATATAGGGATCTTCTCGACCGCAAAAGGCAAGGCTCCCAGGCTCCCAGGCTCAAAATCTTCGACGCCAGGGCAGCCAGAGCCGAAACCTTCATGGTCGTCGTCTCGCACATGAAAACTTGCCAAGAGCGGAGGAACTTCACAGCAAGTTGCTTACGATATTTTCTGGAGATTGCCTACTGACTCTACCACAACAACCGCCAATCGCAGTCACCTATGACCTATGGATAGCGCACCTGAAATCTCACCAGTGTAGGGGTAAAAAAGCACCTCATCCCGCAAGTATCCGCAAGTAAAGCGATGCTGGGGAAACCCTGAGTCCTTGCCGGAGGTGGGCGCAAAGGGTCAAGATTTTTGTTGCGTGTTGAGGCTCCCCTATCCCCGCGCACCACACAAGGCAGTTCACCGCAAGCGAGAGCAAGTGTCTAATCATGTCGGTGTGAAACCGAGACAGCTTTTTATCGGAAAGGCTCAACTTGGTTCAACACAGACAAATTGACTGCAAGCTACTATTCGTGCACTCAAAATCTGCAAAACCGGAGCCGGCCAAGCTTGGGGTTCAAATCCACTTGGAAACGAGAAGCGAGTCAGCACAGATCACTACCCAGAACCACACATTCGCAAGGCTGGAGCACCCGAAGATGAGCATGCCCCTCTCCAAACCGAGATAAAAACTGGCGCACGAGAAGATGACGCGGCCAAACACTGCTCAGCACCACGCACATCCATTAACCACTCAAACAAACGAGCGGATTACGACACCAATCGTCGAGCACGAGCCGGGCCCACCTCATCGGAGCAGGCCAACCGGTCGCACCACCAAACCAAATCCAACAACCAAGCAGTCATCGGGAAGTCTCAACCAAGAAGAATAGCTGCAGGATTCCACGCCCTTGTCAAACCGATTCAAACCGTAGGCACTTTGACCACGCAAGAGGCGCGGAAGCTCCATATTCAGGGAAATGAACCGGAAGCTCTCGATCATCGGCTTGGGACATCCGACGCCAATGATTTCGATCACAGCCGCCCCATTTGAAGTAAGTTCGCCAAGATTCGCCAACCTTGCGAAAATACATGATTTCAACAACAATCGGCGGATCATTGCATGGCGCAACGCGTGCAGGCACTCTTCGAACCCACACCTTTCTAGGGGGTGCGTGGACTGCGCGAAGGTGGTACTTGAGCACAGCTTGCACAGAGAGTAGAGTAGCCTCACCCAAAAAGACTTCGACAGGCACTGTGAAAGAAATTCTTGAGTGGATGGGGTCGTAGTTCGATGCTTCAGGGACTCGTAGTTGTAGCAATAGTAGTATAGTAATGATAATAATAATACGAATAATAATAATGATGATAATGAAATAGTAGTAGTAGTCGTCGTTAGTAGTAGTAGCAGTAGCAGCCAATGCCTTGTTAATCGTACCCCCCCGTGGAGGGTATTCTGCTTGTGCATTCTTTCCTTCTATTTGTTCTGTCGCGCTCCGGGATTCTGCTACGTATCTTGTCTTTCTGGACGCTGACGCGCTTCCGCATTGCCCACTCTTGCTAGAGAACCCATGCGCAAACCCACATAAGGGTTCATGTTCCCAGAGCAAAGCGGGGACCAGTGCATCCATGCCCAAACCATAATACTAATAATAACCACGTTCGTGGTCCGAGAGCATACGGTGATCAGAGCAGCCATGCCCAAACCATAATAACGTTCGTGTTCCTAGAGCACAGGTGACCAGAGCACTCATGCCCAAACTATAATAACGTTCGTGGTGCGAGAGCATACGGTGACCAGAGCATCCATTCCCCAAACTATAATAAAGTTGGTGTTCCCAGAGCCTACGGTGACAAGAGCATCCATGCCCAAACCATAGTAACGTTCGTGTTCCGAGAGCACATGGTGACCAGAGCACCCATGCCCAAACCACGATAATACTGTTGATGGATGAAATCTTGCACCACCTAGACGCCCCAAAAAATACTGTAATTAATTCATAGGACTTTAAGGACTTCAGGTGGTGCAAGATTTCCTCCATCAACAGTAGCAGTGGCGCTGAATTTGCTCCTGAAAAAAGATGTTACTGCCGCACAACTTGTGCTGCAACACAAAACAACTTGTGACCGTCTCTTGGAAATTGATGGAATTGCATACTATTTGGACTTCTGCGATTGCACTTCCCAATAGAAATCACGTTCATTTCCACTTGTAAATGCCGTTTCGCTCACGGTATCAGCAGTAAAAAAAAATGTACGTAATGGTACCTAAGATACTGCGAGGGTCAACATTTCTCAGCTTGCCAAAAACATGTTCCCGAAGCTTAATTCTGAGCCATCCACAACGCTGAAGCCTGCAACGGGCGCGCAAGTTTGCCTCAAAAACCCAGGCGGCTGCAAAGGAGGGACCCGGAACAGGTCCATCTGAGTTTTGGTTTGTATTCCTATAGTATTATTTCACTACAGAAACCACCCCTTCCGCAAAGCCTTTCCGCGATGCTTCCGCAAGTAGCGCTTGTAGCCTGTGTTGCTTCCGCCTTCCGCGCCTGCTTCTGCGAAGGTTCTTCGGCTGAATTTCGGGATCTGCTTCCGCAAAAGGGCTTCGAAAACTACGCAAGGATTTCTGCGCACGCTCTTTTCGGCTGACTTCGTTTGCTCGGTTATAGAAGCAAGTTAGAGGTTCAGGCATGGATTAAGATCCACTCTCAAATATGGTTGAAGACGGGAACATACGGCTATTTGCCGTCTCAATATGATGCGTCGGACATTGTGTTGGATAGGGAGGGTGTAGCCTCCCCGTTTGCACAACGGGCGGAGATGAGAACATGTAGGTTCTTGCCAAGTCTTTCTGGGGGTTGTCAGGCATTGTTTGCTGTTAAGCTTGGCAACGGGTTGGGGCGGCGCAGCGCCCCCACTCGCAAAAATTTGCCAGGATGAGAACTCGTAGAATCCAGTTTGAACCGGGTGTCGGAGCGGGTTCGGGAGCGGGTTCAGGCGCGCGTTCCGGAACGGGTTCTGGCACAGGCTCCGCATCGGGTTCCGGAGCCGGTGCGCGCACCAAAATGCAGGGTATTTGCCTCGTGAAATTTGACGCCTCTTGACGGCGAAGAAGGTACCAGCAGAACAGACACATGAAGCACGCTGCTTGCGTTTCACCATGAGAGTCTACGATCTCTACGGTTCTACAGACAAACAGGGTGACTCATGCATTGATTTCAAAATCTATATACTCGAGTTCAAGTAGCAGCCACAGGCTGCTACTCAGACATGGTGCCTTGGAGTACTAGCGTGGTTCGCACGTACGCTGTCAACAAGAAATACAAGAGTCCACCTTTGCACGGCGAGGAGCGTTTAGAGAAGGCTCTCGGCACTCTGTCCGCCTGCGCGGGAGAGACTTGAAGGAAGTCATATGGCTGGACCCCTTGCACTTTGCAAGGCCAGTTGCAGAGACCAAAAACGGAACTGATTTGCCTGGATCGGGGTCGCAGAAATGCCCACACACCCATGGCGCAGCCTCTGACAGCTACCATGGCAGCAACGTATAGGCAATCAGTCCACTCGCTTCCAAAATGTTGCCAACAGACTTCCTGTCATTCGGGCAATGGGTTTACTGGGGGGCAGGAAATGGTCCACAGCGACTAGCATGCTGAGACCTGCGAATCGTGTGACCTGGGTACCTTAGCAGATCTCAAACCTGGCATGGAGCCGTCACGCAAAGAATTGCAAGCTGGTAAACCTCTTTGGATCACTTAAACCCCATTCGCTCTCAACCCTGATTTGAACTTGCGCCTGCCCTCTCGCTCAACCTTGCCTTCACTGCAGGGCGGCATGCGCATCCAGCACTTCTCTGTCAGTCAGGCTGGCAAGCGCTCGTGGCTTTATGAAGGCATCACCTGTTTTCCTACTGAGATTTGAGGTAGTGTATTGTACATGCGCATCCTGAAAGCTGAAGTTGGAGGTTTTCTCGCTTACTCGCTCGAGCCTGACAGGCTGCAGCCAGCTGAAACAGCTTCGCCGGAAGCACAGCCACTTCGGAGGTCGGGCCGTTCACCAAATCTAGAGAAATATTTTCGCATTGACTAAAAGCCAGGGAGGTCTCCACCGGTCAGCGCATCTCGGCCTGAAGGTGACTGCGAGGTGAGCCTTTGCAAAGATCCAACGGCTCGCAGAAACCCGATCGCAAGATTGCGAAATTTGCGAAGCTGCATATCAAGCTCTGGAGGCCACGCAAGGGTGAGATCACTGCCTGCGACGAATTATCGGCCCAGGGCACCTGTCAGCTGATCTGTCAACAACTCCCTGCATCTTCTCACTGAATTCACATCTCCTACCAGCTGTAGACTTTGGATGCAGCGTCTTGGCATTGCAAGGTTCTGTCAGGGATTCCCTAGGATCGCGCGTGCCTCCAACAGTGCCATGATCATGGTGATGGCAACAAACACGTGCAAACACAACTTGATACCAATGCAGCCGTTTGTTCGGTGCGGCGGTGGTGGGTGGCCCTGGTAAGGCAGAGAGTTGCTTGCTCTGCCTGGAATTCTGTCAACAGTTGGCTGACGGATTTGCCGAAGGTTGTTACAGAATTTGTTCGTCACAACGCGCACGCTGATCAGCCCTGCTTCAGCCCGCTATACCTTCACAATGAACATCACCCGACATGGCCTGAACCACCAACAACCTTCAACTCCAAGAAGATCTCGCGCTATGATGTACATTTCTTCGACAATCCTCACTAGGTCTCCGCAGCAAGGAGATCAGTTTCGTCTTGTGCTCTGGTTGCTGATGCCCCATGATGCGCCTCCCCACGTACCAAAGCAAAAACATTGCTTCTGAAGTCTGGTCTTCTGCATTCTGGACAGCAATGAGGGCACTAAGGTTTAAAGCTGCAGACTTTCTGTTTAGGGAGGTTCGGGCCTGTGTTCATCGTGAGACTGGGCCAAGTGCAAAGTGCAAACTTACCACAAGATGGAAATAAAAGGCAACCGTATCAACTGCCGATTTTGACGTGCGGATGTCACATACTGACTTCTGAGACGACAACCTCGATTTATCTTGGCTGCTTTATGGCGACATCAAATTCCAGATCCTGTAATTAGTCAGAAGGCCAACAGGCCTATTGCTGAAAAGATTTCTGGTTTCTGCACGCCTGGTGATATCACCCTAACCCCCCTGCTCCACTCCATCGCCCACATCAGCCGAGTTAGATAGCAGCCTATGACCAGTCTGGCATGCATCTTGTCAGGCAACCTTCGAAGAATCACCATGAGAGGGTCGCGAGACAGGCTTGATCGAAAACTGAAGAATCTGGACTCTGCAACAAGGGGTGCAAGCAATTTCCCCCTCCACCCGCAAAAAAAAAAAAAAACTGGAATTTC